TCAGTTAAAAGCATAATAATACAGTTCAACAAAGGCAAGCTGAAGCAAAGCAAACTTTTTTGATTAACTCAAGTACATGAACATACCAATTCATAATTTTTTAATCCCTTATTATTAGTTTCATCTTCTTCAGCTACAAATGTCAAAGGTCGGAAGGTTGCACCACAAAGTGAACATAACGATACTATTGCTGAAAAGAGTAATTGGAGATAATTGATAAATTTTATTATTGTAATATTGGGAATGATCACTAAATAAAAATGAATTATGTAAACCTGCATAAACAGCAAAAACGGTCCTCCATGAAAAAGCTTTAATTAATTCTTCACTTAATGGTGCAAACAGAATGGTACCAATGCCAGCACCACAAACTGCTATACCTGTTGCCATAGCTCTAAAAAACATTAAAGTAATAGTCTGGTTCTTGCTTATTAATTATTAATTTATCCACACTTTGGCGATTGTTTTTGCCCATACGGATAACCAAAATTATATACAATTAGTAAATTATTTTAGTAATGAATATATACTTGAATAATTGTTTCAAAAATTATGATAAATTACAAATATAAAATTTGAATAACCATTATCAAGTTTATGCACTATGAAATGAAATAATAATTAAAATAGTAATTAATATTTTTCAGAAAAAAAAGTAAAATTTATTTTGATAAAATAAACCTTTTGCGCTCGAAATACATGGTAACAATAACAATAGCTGGACAATACATTAATCCAAAACCCATACCCATTACACAACCAACTGAAACCATTAGATATTCTACTGAGGTTGCATAATATGATGCTGCACATCTGAAATACATGCATACTAATAATTATTTCAACTTAAGCTAAGTCAATATTGTCTTAAGCTAATTTAAGGCTATTATCCTTACCCCGCAGTAGCAATTAATGAGCCCGATATTGTTGCTACTCGACAACCGAACTTATTTGTCACCGCACTTGCTATTGGACCTGCTCCAAGAGTTAAACCTGTTAGAAGTGATATTATCATAGAGGCTTTCGTATTAGATGCATTGAATTCCTGAAAACTTATTAAAGATTACTCATATGAATACATAGTGATAGTCAAATGAATATGATATTAGTCGCTTTGACAAATTTTGAATCATCTTGGAGGACAAATGATGGATAAACGATTGGATAAAGCTGAAATATTAAAGTATAGAATGATGTGGATTATTGATATCTTTATATTACTTCCAAATTTAGACTTGTCAAAGTGACTGTATAGAAAATCATTACAATACTTTTTATTAGCCGCGATAAATTACAAATTAATTGCCTTCTGAGCGATAAATAAATACTTGCACATAGCATATAAAATAATTTAAGTAAATAGAAAAATAAATTAATCAGTATTTTCTTACCTTCATAATCACCTCAAGTAAAATACCAAAGGAATAAACAATGCCATCAGCGAATACATGAATAAAAAATGAACCAACAACCACAACCCAACCCCATCCACCATCAACCACGGGCACATATCTCTTATTTTCACCTTCCTTATCTTTATTCTTGTTGTCTTCAATATTTTTCTTCATGTTCCTTTATAATGATCTAAAAATTTGTTATTATTCAATTTTGGTATTACAAAACACTAAAACTCACTCAAAAAATTAATCATTATTATCATTGATACCTAAATTAATCATTATTACCATTGATACCTAAATTAATCATTTTTATCATTGATACCTAAATTAATCATTATTATCATTGATACCTAAATTAATCATTATTATCATTGATACCTGAATTAATCATTATTATCATTGATACCTAAATTAATCGTTTTTATCATTGATACGTAAATTAATCATTTTTATCATTGATACCTAGATTAATCATTTTTATCATTGATACCGTAAACGAATATTTTTATGTGAA